GTGGCTGGCTGCTGCATTTCAACTATATTCAGGATATTTTTCTAATTTCCTTTTGGACTTCATCTTTGACTCATGGTTATTTTGAAGTGGTGTGCTTTATTTCCAAATTTTGGGCTGTTTTCCAGGTATCATTCTTTTATATTTTAGTTTTTATAGTCATAAAACATATTTTGTATGATCTAAATTCTTTTAAATTTGTTGAGGTTTGTTTTAAGGCCCAGACTGTGGTGTATCTCAGTAAATGTTTTATGTGGAGTTGAAAAGAATGTTTATTTTGCTTTTGTTGGGTAAAGTGTTATGAAAATGTCAATCAAAACAAGTTAATTGATAGTGTTCAGGTTTCCTATATCCTTGCCTTTTTTTTCTGTCTAGTACTTGTTTTACTGATTACTGAGAAAGAAGCGTTGAATTCCCTAACTGTATTATAGATTTTTCTCTTTCTTATTTTAGGGCTATTGGTTTTTACTTCATGTATTTTTGTAGCTCTATTATTAGATGTATATACATTTATGATTGTTATGTCTTCTTAGTGAATTAAACCTTATATCATTAGGTAATATCCCTCTTCATCCTTGGTAATAGTCTTTCTTTCGAAGTCTACTTTTTCTGATATTAATACAGCCATTCCAATTCGTTTTGATTAGTGTTTGTATGGTATATCTTATTCAATTCATTTAATCTTAACTCATATGTTTCTTTATAGATAAATTTGGTTTCTTCTAGATAGCATATTATTGGCTCTTGCTTTCCCCTTCCCCATATACTAATCTGTATTTTAATTGGTCGTTAATACAGTTGGATTAAAATCTTCCATCTTACTATTTGTTTTCTATTTTTTTTCTTCTTTTTCTTCCTTACTTTGGATTAATTGATTATATTTTGTCAGGGAAAAGCCTTAACCTCATGATACCAAAAGTAGACAATGAGACTTACTGTATCCAATCAAGATTATTACTCGTAGCACATCAGACAGTATGAACATCAACATAATTTTGTGTTGATTCCCTTAGCCCTAAATCCAACAAGTGATACATTGGTCCCAGATGCACAGTGGGTTTGCATTGTGGCTGAAAAACCCAGGCCCAGCAATTTTATAGCAAGCAGTAAGCAAGTCTGCCTCTATTCGAGAAAAATCTGATCTCATCTCTCAAAATTACCAGCTGTATTCACAATGCTGAGCAAGGACCCAGGTGAAAGAGAAGTCTCGGAACCTTGTAATCTTGACATACTCAACAAATCATGCTGGACACAAAGAAGCCCAGGGGAATGCCTCCCAATATTTTTATGATTCCATTTTATCTCTATATTGGCTTGTTATTTATACTTCTTTTAAAAATTTAGTAGTTACCCTTGCATTTACAATATATATCTTTAATAAATCACAGTATATCTGAATAATATTATATTACTTCATATATAGCATAAGGACCCTTTAACAGTATATTTCCAATTCCTTATCCCATTATTTTTACTATTGTCATTGTCATACATTAAAAACAGGAAAATGTCTTATATTTACCTTTATTCCATCCACTTCCAGAGATCTTCATTTCCGAAGAGCCAGGTTTCTTTTTGGTATCATATTTTTTCTGCCTCTAGAACTTCGTTTACCATTTCTTTTTTATATTTTTTATTTTTTAATTACAATTGACATTCAATATTATTTTATATTAGTTTTAGGTGTACAGCATAGTAGTTAGACATTTATAATTTATGAAGTGATCGCCCAGTTAGTACTTACCTTTACCATTTCTTGTAGTGCTGATCTGCTCTTAATTAATTTTGTGTTTTTGTTCATCTGAACAAAGTGTTTATATCTATTCTTGTTTGAAAGATATTTTTGCTGGGTATAGAATTCTGGCTTGACAATTTTTTTCTTTCAGGATTTTAAAGATATCATTATATTGTCTTCCGATTTCTGATCACATACCGTCTCTGATGAGAAGTCTGCTGTAATTCTGATCTTTGTTCCTCTGTATGTAGTATATCTTTTTCCTCTAGATGCCTTCATAATTTTTTCTTTGTCTTTGGCTTTCAACAGTTTGAATATGATAGATCATATTGTGTGTGTGTGTGTATTGATAGTCAATCTTTTGAAATCTGTTTTTTGGTTGTGTGATTCTTTCATTATTTTTGGAAAATTATTGGCCATTATTTTTACAAATTGCATGTGTGTGCATGTGTATTTCTATCTGTATCTCTTCTCCTTCCAAGATTCAGATTACACACACGCTAGCTCTTGGATGTTCTGGGGTTTTTTTTGGTTTTATTTCTCTTTTTCTATTTCAGTTTGGATAGTGTCTCGACCTATTTTCAAGTTCCTTGATGCTTTCCTCAGCTGTGTTCAGTTTACTGATGGGCCTGTGAAAGGCATTCTTCACCTTCGTTACACATTTTTTAAAAAATTTTAAATTTCTGGCATCATCCATATGCCTCTTTTTTATAGTCTCCATCTCCCTGCTAAAATTCCCCTTCTGTTTATGTATGTTGTCCATATTTTCCAACAGAGTCTTTCACATATTGTTATAGTGGTTTTAAATTCTGTGTCAGATTAACTCCAGAGAGTTATCTTGAGAGGGTCTTGAGTCTGGTTCTGTTGATTACTTTGTCTTTTGACAATAGGGCTTTTGTTTTTTGTTTTTGTAAAATTGCTTTTTGTGTATGTGTTATGATTTTTGATTGATTTCTGGACATGTGTAGAGGCCAGTATTACGTAAGCCTAGAAATTGTCGTATCTCTTCCTAGGCCATTAGTGTGGAGGATTGACGCCATCTTGTCGGGAGTCGAATGAAGTTTGGGTTTTGTTGTTTCTAAGATTACTTTTAGTGTTGGTGACTCCCACAGGTGCTCTACTCTCACTCTAAACACACTGGGCTTTTAGCAATTCAATAAAAACCGTAGCTGAACACTTCTCACTTGCTTGCATGGAGACTCCGTCGTCTTCCTACTTCACAAGTGTGCCAGTGCCTGCATCCCATTTGTTCTGGGATGCTCCTGTCTTTCTTTGGAATTCAGGTTTATTGGCTGCTCTGCAACCCCAGTTTTCCTGTGGATTAGACAAGTAATAATTTTATAGATTATTTAACAATTTTAAAAATTATTAGTATGGTAATGATGCTTTTCCCAGCTTTCTGTGTCTTTGATGGAAGCCAGGAGTCTAAGCCATCTACTTTTTCACTGCTCTTTTGACTTCTTTTGCCATCCATTCCTGGGTCCGCTGCCTGGGTCTTTCTCTTGGCTGACACCCTTCCAGCATAGCCCCTTGAATTATTTCTAGCTTGGATGCTTTTCCTCTTTCCACCCTTTCATCTGGCAAATATCTGGCAAAGAGAAGGGACCTAGAGGTTCCTGATCTGTCACCATCTTGGAGACAACTCAGAATAATCCATGGGGTCCTGTTCCCAGGGTAAGCCTGAAAACGGGAGGAGGTAACTTTGAGAGCTAAACTCTCATCTACTGTACTCCTGGCTTGGCCTCATTCCTCTGTTCTAGGAAATGGGACCAAGTATCTGCTCTATCCATTAATGAAGAATAGGAATCAAACTGATCAAACAGTAGTTGGAAGATAAAAACTGAAACAGGATAAAAGGGGAATAGGCTTTTGGGAGTAGTGATTACAAACATAGTCTCTGGAGGCAGCCTACCTGGGTTCGAATTCCAACTGCATCACTCACTGTGTGGCCTTGGACAGGTTCCTTTATCTCTCTGCATCTTAATTTCTGTATCTGTAAGATGGAAATAATAGTACTTACCTTACAGAATTGTTAAGAGGATTAAAAGAGTTAATATATGCAAAGCACTTATCAGAGTGGCAGGTATATAATAAGCTCTGTAGAGGTATTACCTATTAGGGAGTAGTTCCTATAATTGCAGAAATTCATGGAAGAAAGCAGTTTCTCCATTTCTCAGAACCCATTCCGATCAAAACAACTAATGTTTATTGAGCTTCCCCAAAGTGTCCAGTCCTGTACTAAGCATTTTATATGAATTATATCATAAGAGGTAAGGATTAATTATTTCTAATAGGAAAGGAAATCCGGGATCAGTAGAATTGTTTACACAGCTGGCTAGATGCAGAGCTAGGTTTACAACCCAAGAAGGTCTGACTACTATGCCTGTGCTCTCAACCACTGCACTTGTTGCTTCCCACAAACTGGTTTCCTTGCTTGTAAAATAATGGGAAAGCTGCTTGCTGTATTTCTCTCACAGAGTTGTTTTGAGATCCCAACAACCAATGGAGGAGGCAGTGCTTTAAGTATTTGTACAGAGTGCTGGTCCCCTGACAGGGAAACCTGAACGTGTTATGACTTTTCTCGCCACCGTCCCTATGCACATGCCCCTCTCCCCTTTCTCTGCTTGTGAACTCATCATTTTCTCAAGACTCAGCTCAGATGTCAGGCCTAGATTTTATTCTAACAATGGAGGGATTTAAGCAGGGAGTGGCACATCAGACTTGCATTCTGAAATGACGGCTGACTGCTGGGTGCCAAATGGAGTGTAGCAGGGCCAGAGTGAGTACAGGGAAACCAGATAGGAGGCTGCTGAAGGAGCCAAGGGAGAGGTGGTGGTGCGGATGGAGAATGGTGGATGGGAAGGATGTTTAATGGGGGCAGCGAAGGACAGGGAGGTGCCAAGGATGAGCCCTAGTTCTTGGTTTGCTCGAGGATGTTCGTTGAATGAATGACTGAGGACTCCACGGCCGAAGCATCTTCAACAGACACCTCTTCCCCACCCCCGTTCCTCCTACCCCTCTCCGGCAGCTTCTGGAGCTACGAACAGGAGGATAGGTCAAAGGGAGAAGGAAGAGAATGGGCACAGTCTCTCGGACCGGGAGATACTAGATCGGACACTTCTGGCACTGGTCTGAGCCAGGAGGCTCTGCGATGGGACAAGCGTCTCCCCTGTCCACCTGCAGTTTGCGCCTCTCCCCTCCACCCACGCCAGCCCGGGCATGCAGCGCCCCTCTTAGCACCCTGCAGGAGTTGGCTTCTCGCCGGCGTCTAGGGGTGCGGCGCAGCGGCCCACCCCTCCAGCCCTGACCCGCCCCGTCCTGGCGCCCACCCCGCCCAGTGCTCTGGAAATGCTGGGTGGCGGCTCAGTCCAGTCCGGGAGCCAGGAACCAGGGGCTGCCGGGTGAGTCCCAGGGTCAAGGGGTCCTGCACCTGCAGTGCACTTGCCCTGACGGGCGGCACGGGGTCGTGCCCTACTCCTCCCGCGGGTCCTCGGCCTCTCTTCCCCGAGTGCGCCCCCTCGAGATGTGCACTTATCAGCTTGAGAATGTGGCCGAGGGTGTCGGGGTGCGGGTGCGTGCTCGCCGCGTCGGGGCTGTCCCAGAGACCCGGAGCAGCAAGTGTGCGTGGGCGGGGAGTCCGCGCGTGTCCCCGCGGCGGGTCTGCGCAGGCTAGCGGGGCGCGGCTAGTGGAGCGGAGCGTGCGGAACCGAGCGCACCGGCAGCGGCGGGCGGAGCGTGGAGGAGGCCGGCTGGGCTCTGCGTGGAAGGATGCAGGCCCGCAAGTTTTCGGCCGCCCTGGAAGTACGAGCGGTCGCGCCCGAGGGGGCTCCCCGCGGCCGCCGGGCTAGAGGCGAGCGCGTGTGCCCGCCGCCGCCCCTCCCCCACTTCCGCCTCCCGCCTCTTCCTCGTTCCCGGCTCCAAGGGCCCGTGCGTCCCGGGGGACACCCGGCGGCGC